CGTTGTGTCCTTGGGCAAGACACTTCACCTACCGCCTACTGGTGTTGGCCAGAGGGGCCGATGGCGCGATATGGCAGCCTCGCTTCTGTCAGTCTGCCCCAGGGCAGCTGTGGCTACAACTGTAGCTGCCTCCACCAGTGTGTGAGAGTGAATGAATAGTGGAATTGTAAAGCGCTTTGAGGGTCTCGAAAAGCGCTATATAAATGCAATCCATTATTATTATTATAACCTCTTCACTTGTATATAGGCCAAAACAAAACAACAGTCGCTTCAATACCCTTCAAGACCCTAAAATAATACAAACTGCTATTTTCCATGCAAACTATAACTAACTATGATAATTTACTAGCGGACAAAGCAATCACAAGGATGTTTTCAGTGCAGCATTGTCTTTGCAGCCAATTTCACCAAACCACAGGGAGCAACCTCCAGCAACCACTCAGCAGCCATCAGGAAATATTCATTTTCCTCTAGCGACCAGATGTTGCCAGGGGTTCACAGACTGGTTTTGATTTTGTTAGTAAGTAAGTAAAGAATTTTAATGCTCCATCCACTACATGTATGTTATACAGTCAGTTGTTGATTGTTTTACTATGTTGATGTATTGTCTACTTTGCTACCAGTCAATATTTTTGCAAGCATTCCCCATCATGAAGATGTGAAAATAAACCTTTTTAATGCCATTATATCGCCTTGATCCAGATTATTGCTGAATAAGAGATGAACTGATCTCACTTTCTGATGTTAATCAAGGACACTTTTAGACTCTAAAATTATTAACCTAGAAGCTCAGAAGTTCTGGGGGTAGTCATTTTTACTGACTGTTAAATACTTTCCCCTGGTCTATGGTTTTAAAAACATAAAACTGCAGAGTACAGGCCGAATGGCTAACCTTTAAACATTTCAGGTAGGTTTGGGTATTTGACAGTATGACAAAAGCTCCAAACTGAAAAAGAGCTGTTACTGGAAGGATGTTTGCTTCTGCTTTTTAAGTATCCTAGTATTCTTTGGTAGTGCAGGACTATATATATAAACCATTAACCTAGATATGTAAATATATTTCTCCCCCAATGTCATACCTAAGAGGTTTGTTCCTTCGATCTTCATCAGTCAACAGATTCGCCAACACAGCTGCTTATTGTGGGGTTTTTCTAACCAGGAGCAGCTCTAATATGTTTTTTCTTAACATTTTCAATGTTCTAAAACCTCTGGAAGCCTTCCACTTCATTGTTCTGCCCACTTTGAACTAAACACACCTGTGTAGCTTCTGTAAGTGTGGGTGTAAACCAGCACCTGTCCATAGAGAGCTGGGCGACGAGAGTGACATCTGTGTTGTCAGAGCTGGGTTTATACTCATAGTGCAGGAAGTAGAGGTGTGTTCGATGGACAGTGAATCGCTCTCGACGAAACTCGTAGCACGGATCATCTTCATCCAGCTCTGACAGTGTCTTCTGGAGCTGCAGATAGAGAAAGATAGGAAGAATAAGACAGATTATAGACCAGAGAGACAGAATCTCAACAACAACAAAAAAAACTAGACAAAACATGTATGTCACTGAGTGAAATAAGTATTTGATCCCCAAACAAAACATGTCTAGTACTTGATGGGGAAACCCTTTTTGCTGGTAATTCTCGTAGTTTGGACACATCTCAGGAGGGATTTTGTGTTACCAATGGTAGTCTTGGTGACTGTGAGCTGCATTCATCTGCCTTCAGATGATTAACAAGCTCCTCCTGTGTAGTTCTGGGCTCATCCACCACCTCACTCTTAACCATCCTCACCCTACGAGGCAAGATTTTGCAAGGGACTGTGGCTGCAAGGTGGTTGGTATCTATGGGAGTGGTAATCCCTGAACCATATGGTGGACAGAGGTGAAAGGAGCAATCAAGCTGAAGGAGGAGTCTTATCAGTGTTGGTTAATTCAATTCAGTTTTATTTATACTGTGCCAAGTCACAACAACAAGGCGCTTTGAATTGTAAGGTAAAGACCCTACAATAATAAAGAGAAAACCCCAAAAATCATACGATGAGAGTGGGAAGGAAAAACCTGGCATCACCAGGCTCAGGGAGGGTGACACGGTACTGTGAGGCCTGATTACTCAAGACAGGGAGCCAATGAAGAGATGCCAGTATAGGAAAAATATGCTCTCTGTCTATTCACCATCAGTACTTTTGGATTAACTGAAGGGAGTTTTTAAGACAACTTATAATAACAAATTACAATAATTCAGTCTAAAATTAATAAATGAATACACTAGTGTGTCAGTGTCACATGATTTTAGAGATCTTGCACAAATGAAGGAAAGCAGTCGCACATATTTGTATGTGCATTGAAGGACATATCCTGATCAAAAACGATACAAAGTTTCCTTTCAGTGTTACTGGAGGCCAAGGTAATGCCATCCAGCTTTGTAGTACAACACTCGTCAAAGGACAAGTGTTGTACTACAAAGCAAACAGGGATGACAGACTAAGGTTGGTGTTCCCACAGCAGCAGCGGGAGCAAGTTTTAAGATTGGGGCATATTATTCCACGGGTGGGGCATCTGGGAACTAAGAAGACAAGGGACCGAATTTCCAGCAGGTTCTATTGGCCAGGTATGAACAGAGAGGTTGAGGAGTTTTTCTTGCTCAATCTGTCAGCTGGCTGGTGATAAAAATGTCCCAAAATTTCCTTTAAAGCCTTTTCCTGTTATTGATGTTCCATTCAGTCGCATTGCAGTGTGGCCGCTAGAGTGAACCCAGGCAGGTAATCGCTATATATTAGTGGTTTGTGCCTACAGTACCAGATATCCAGAAGCATTTCCCCTTAGGGAAATTACAGCTAAACAGACAGCTTATGCTCTCTTGCAGGTTTTTTTCCCAGGTGGATACTCCATCTGAGATTTTGACGGATGATGGTTTTGAGTTTCTTTTACATACCCTGAGGCAGGTGTATAAGCTTTAAGGTATTAGCAGTATTTAGACCCCAAACAGATGGCTTGGTGGAGAGATACAATCGAACTCCGAAAGCAATGTTGAAGAATTTCATCTCAGCTGATGCTAAAGATTGGGACATGTGGCTTCCTGATTGGCTGTTCGCTTATAGGGAAGTGCCTCAAGCATGAACCGGCTTTTCACCTGCTCCTGTATGGCAGGCAGGTGAGAGGACCATTGGATGTTCTGCAGGAATCCTGGGTGAGGCCAAGGAAAGAGGTGACGAGCGTGTTGGACTACATTCTTCAGATGAGGGAGAAAATGGAGCAAAACACCAAATTGGTGAAGAGGCATATGCAGAGTACTGTTACAACAGGGCCGCAAGGGAGAGCTCGTTCAGCCAAGGACAGCAGGTACTCTTAATACTTCCTACTGCTGAAAACAAATTGTTGGCTAAATGGCAAAGTGCTGTGCTAAGAAAGCAGTTCAACAACTCATGAGATCCAGATGCCAGAGAGAAGAAATCCAAAACAAATTTCACATCAATCAGCTAAAGCAGGGGTGGGCAACTCCAGGCCTTGAGGGCCGGTGTCCTGCAGGTTTTAGATATCACCCTGGGTCAACACACCTGAATCAAATAATTAGTTCATTACCAGGCCTCTGGAGAACTACAACACATGCTGAGGAGGTAATTTAGCCATTTAAAGCAGCTGTGTTGGATCAAGGAAACATCTAAAACCTGCAGGACACTGGCCCTTGAGGCCTGGAGTTGCCCACCCCTGAGCTAAAGGAATGGAAAACCCAGAATAATCCAATCCAGCAGCAGTTGTTCATGCAAACTGTGGCTGAGGAGGATGATATCAATGAGGAATTTATACCTGTTGGGCTTAACTCTGCCTCTCTTGACCTCTCCCATCTCTCTGTAACTCAGCAGGAGAAGCTGCATGCCATTATTCCTGCCAAGTTATTTTTAAGAAGAAACCAGGGATGAGAAACCTTGTGGAGCCTGACATCTGCCTGAAAGAGAGTACACCAATATGGCAGAGAATGTACAGGATTGGAGTTTTGGAGAAGTAGGTAGCTCTGATATTGGATTTGGGGGTTACTGAGCCCCCAACCAGTGAATGGAGCAATCCTATTGTGATGGTAAAAGCTGTAATTGTAAAAGAAATTGAAATTTCGTTTAAACTCTGTTCCAGTGAAAATAAAAGCATTCTAAACTCAAATGGATTCCTTGGAAAGAAAAGTTTCACCATCTCCACCAATCCATGAATTAATTTGTTTTCAACTGACAGCATGGCAAGAGCATTTAACCTCTGCTGTCCCATGGTGTTGCATGTGAAGGTCTTAATTCTTTTCCACTTTATAATCACTTCTGCTGAATCAAGCAGAAGCTTTTCAATTTCTGGCAGTGACACTCTTTCAGATAAGGCATCCTGAAGGTTGTTCTCAATTAACTCGAGCAGAAACGAGTATTTCCTGTGTGCAACTCAAAGATACTGTACAGTGACTTCATCCTAATTTTGATCGCTCCTTCAAGTGTGACACTGGGAAATGATGTGACAAACTTCCTTCAGAGAATACAGTCCGTTATTCTCCGGAGGAAGTCGGACGGAATAAGGTGACCACTTTTGATAAATGTCTCCTGTACCTGCACGACACATTTAGTCCTCTTATTCTTTCTCTCTCAGTCAACCCACTCTCTCTAAAACTGTGTGTTTGACTGGATGATCATGGCCATTTTTACATATTGCTTTTCGAGGACATACATCATATTAAACTCTGGTGTCAGCATAGAAAAACTGTAGAACCTGTAAAAATGAAATAAAGCAAATAAACCTGCAAAAATAAAAAAAAATACTTCCAAATCAGAGAGTCTTGTTGACTGCTGAAGTGCCCACTCCTATCTATCTATTGCATCATCATAGGTTTGCACAATTAATTTATTCTTGCTATTTTATTGCTTGCGAGTCATTTTGTCCTTAACCTAAACGAATGCAACTTCACATGTGCTAAAAAGTTTCTGCACGTTATGATTCTAGCGAGAACAGACCTGTTGTCTGCTGTTTGCTGACTGTGAAGGTCAGTGGCACTTTTGCGTCAGTCTGAGCCACTGACTTTGATCATGAACATTATTACCGACATGTGAACAGCTGCTTTTGTGTCTGGCATGGTAGATAGACTGGTGCTTATGCTATATTCTCCTGCTCTGCCTTAGCTCTGAGCACTTTATACAACATGCCTCATTCAACCATCAAACAAGCCCTATCTATGCTGAGATTCTATAGTATATTTCACACTGTTTGTGTGCCGGGGATACAAGTTTCACCTGGTTGGAGTTTTGTTTAAGTAAATGTTTATCACTGTTGACAGTAGAGGGCAGCAGGGTGCCTGCTGTGGGACTGTTATGGCAAGACACACCTCTGTTCATTCTATTCTACAGATTAGTAATGGCTCCAAAAGCACAAAAACTTATTAATGAACACTGAAGATTATCCTCTGTTACTCCAGGCTATGTTTACAATGTCCAATATGTAACACTGTGCTTACTTGAGCTACTCTGGCTAAAATAAAAATTGCATAGATATGCTTCAAGCACAGGTAATGTCTTTTAACACAGAATCATTGTCATGGTCCTGGGTCATTTTGACCCAGTGTTCCTAGTTTTTCTTGTGTTTTTGTATTTTGTTAGTTCATTATTTATTCCATGGTTCCTAGGTTGTTCAGTTTAGTTTATTGGATTCCCCCCTTGTGTCTCTGCCCTCTGTGTCTCCCTCTGTGTCTGTGTTTATATTGTGGGGTGAGTTCTTGTGCCGTGGTTCCCTTCATGTTTTATTGTGTTAGGTTTTCCATGTTTCCCCAGCGTGTCGTGTCTGTGCTCTCCCTCGCTGTGATCTGCCTCTCCTCTACTCCCACATCATGTTTCCTGTTTTATTGTGAAGGTCCTGTGTTTTCATGTTTATTCTGTTCAGTCCAGTCGCCCCTGTCTCGTTATGGTTATTAGTGTCAGCTGTGTTCCTAGTGTGTTCTCACTTCCTTGTTATTCCTCTGTGAATTTAGGTCAGCGTCTCCCTCAGTTCTCTGTTGCGTCCTCCCTCATGGCTGCGTGTCTCTCCCTGTGTTTCCCCAGGGGTTCATATTCGTAGATTTTCCCAGTTTAGTTTTGTATTGCTCCCTCTGTTCCCAGCAATAAAACTGTATTTTGAATTCACGTTTTTCTTAAGTGAGTTTGCGTTTGAGTCCAATTCCTGGTTCACGACAATCCTGCTCTCTTAAAATGTAAAGATCAGATCACTTAGTTTTAGATTTTCTGTTCAGTGTTTGTATGTTAATTATACAAAGCAGGTCTGAAGTTATTCAGACCCCCCCCCCCCCAAACAAAACATTTAAATACTGTCAGTAGCCAACTTGACTGGGAACACGTAAAGCATAAAAGGAATATGAGTCATGTCAATAAAAACTTTAGGAAGTACAATACACATGGATATAGGTTTCTTCCTTCCTTGCCTCCCTCACCCTCAAAAGATGACTATCCCTCCCTGAGCCTGCTTCTGCTAGATCACAGGTGTCGAACTCCAGGCCTCGAGGGCCGGTGTCCTGCATGTTTTAGATGTGTCCTTGATCCAACACAGCTGATTTAAATGGCTAAATTATCACCTCAACATGTCTTGAAGTTCTCCAGAAGCCTGTTAATGAACTAATAATTTGATTCAGGTGTGTTGAAACAGGGTGATATCTAAAACCTGCGGGACACCGGCCCTCGAGGCCTGGAGTTCGACACACCTGTGCTAGATGTTTTCTCCTGTTAAAGAGCTAATGATAGGAATTCATAAAACCTGGCGCACACCTCAGAAGCAGTAAAGGCATCATGAGTGTAGGTGATGCAAAATGTCCATGTGCATCCACAATGCTAATGCTAATGTCTGACTAGCCAGCATACCCGGAACCTACCATGTCAGTAGTGATGGCCAAATGAAGCTTTCTGAAGCACTGAAGCTTGTATTGAAAAACGGTTCATTACTCGAAGCTTTTCAACACAGTCCTCTCTGGTGACATCTGGTGGCCAAAAATATGAAGAGCAGCTTGAATCCACAAAATAAAACCAACTGCTTCATTATGATTGCCCACTCTACAGAGTGGAATTCTGTCTGATATTGGGCCGCCGTTGTGTTGCTTTGAACGTGTATTTTTTGGTGGTTAAAAAAATGTTTTATTTGTTTAATAAATAATTTTGACCAGTAAACTCTCCTTGTTTAAACATGCACCATGGTGTGGTCTTTCTTTGCTTGTGACTTCTTGATGTTGGTAAATACAATAATTGAAAAATACCACGTTACATATATAATGTACAACACATTATGGAGTATGCTTCTGCTGTGAGGTCCTGCCTCCATGCACTTATGCAATTAATCGCTAGACGGGTGTATTTATAAATAATATTATATTAGGGAAATTTTCCCAGACATATTTTTGACCTGGGGGTAGAATTGATTGTGAAATGGAAATTGCTTATGAACTTGCAAATGAAAAACATGATGCATTTAAAGTAGCCCTTTTTCATTTTTATTTAAGAAGAGAATTTGTTCCACTGTGCGATGGCCGAACCTGTTCCTTTTCGTGGCGATAATTTCTCCTGCCTTAAGGAAAATCCCTTCACATGGCCCAGAGGAGGCTGGAGTGCAGAGAAACTGGTAGAGATGCAGTTATACAGTCTACCTGGGCCCCACCAACTATCAGCTAAAGAGAATAAATAAATTCAATTGCTGCACATTTGGCAGACTAACATTTTCAGATTAATTAAACAATAAAATATATATTTACAACATTACATGTAAAGAATCAAGTGGAAGTTTTTCTACCAAAGCAGTTAGGTTCTAAATGAAGCTTCGGACGTCACTGATCACGTGACTCTGGCCAAACGAATCAAGCTTCGACACAGTGCTTCTGAAGCAGTGTGTTGATTTTTTTGACACACGCACCGGAGCTTCAGCTTCAAGCGGGCCATCACTAATACAGAAATAATGTACTAGGCATAGCAGTTACATCAGGAGATGTAGAAACTCTCATGTATGTTGTCAATACCAAGTCAAGAGTTAAGAGAATTCCTGACTTATGTTTCAATTGATAAGAAATTTACTCTTTGTTCGCTACAAATGTAACTTGTTTCTAACTAAATGGATGATGGCAGTTTGAATCCCACAGTGGTTAAGCACCATCTCAAATAACTTCACTACACTGACAACAGAAACAGAAGCACAGAAGTTCCACATACATTCTCACTGTTGTGGTCAGCCTCACTGGGACAGCCGAACAGCTCTCGTCGCAGAAGGTTGCCATCGTACTCCAGAAAGGTAAGATAGAGATTCCGGAAGAATTCCACATGCTTGTTCTTTACTCGCAACTTCTTTGGAGAGTTCCAGTGGATCACCTGTTGAGGAGAACCACAAATGGGAGAGTGGTGAAGAAGCTTCTGGTATCATCAGGTTCTAAAGAATCAGAGCAATAAACCAAAACATTTACACTGCGCTTTGCCAAGAGTGCAGAACAAAGTTACTACTTGTTGTTAACACTTGTCTGTTATTTGGCTCAATACCTGGCAAAAATCATGAGAGAGCAGTGAAGAAAAGCCTCATTATACTGTTTGCTAAGATGTGAAATTACTTCACTCAGTGCTTTAGACAAAGGTGCCATTTCACTAACTGCACTTTTTTGCAGATTGATATAAATACGTTTCAGCAATGCCATTCAAGATGCTCAATTGTCACTTTCAGCAACTCAGTGTTTTGGCCAAGAACACTTTGTGGACATAGAATGAACTGCCAACAGTGCGAGGAGCACATGTAGCATTATCCAATGCAAGAAGATACATTATAGAAGAAACCACATGAAAGAATCCACAAAACTGCCAAAACATGTCTGAGGCTATTTACAGCATGGCTTCACTTTTGATTGGTAAGATCAAGAGCTTTTCCTAAAACTGATTCAGCAGAGTTTCTTAATGTCTTTGTTTAACGGTCTCAAAAGCACTGTGCTAGTGTGGAAAGTTAAATACGTCCAGTTATTTTCTATTACTTTTACTTGGATGACTAAAAACCTACACAGACCAGTGTGGTAAGAACAGTAACAGACCCTGTGCACGAGAAAATGCTAAGTTCCTGTTTTAAGACCGGATGTAGGCTTGTACATTTCTGGTAGCTTTACTTTGCGGTCAATCGCTACTGCGAAGGTGGACTCCAAAATCATGTCCGAAATACGAAAACGGAAAGATTACATTAAGTTACAAAGAGCAAAAGGTGTGCACACTCACCATTGCCGTGTCAGTAAAAATAAAATGATCAATTTTGACGTTTGAAGCGTGTAGATCGATTGGTTGTTTACATCACATCAGAAGACACATCGTCCACATTTAGAAGCACATCTCTGTATAGTGACAGTTCTTATGATTTAAACAGGAAAATGTCCAGCATTCAAACTACAGGTGAACAATAGTCAAAGCCAGATGTTTCCCCGTTATGTCGATATCAGTACACACCTACACAGCATGTCAACAAACCGTGAAAAAAAGCCACAGGATATAAAAAAATATGAATGATTGCTGGTAAGGGTCTCTATATGTTAGTATTTACGAAGGGTATGTTGTGACTTATCTTCACAATTACAGTGGTCCCTCGCTATAACGCGGTTCACCTTTTGCAGCTTCGCTGTTTCGCGGATTTTTTAGTGCAATTTTGCCTTTTTTTTAAAGCGCAGTGTGTACTGCGTTCTGATCGACTGCAGACCATTGTCGATCTCCGTGCTGTCTCTCCTGTCCAGTACAGAATCGCTACATCAATCGCTAGCAGTGTGACTCTGAAGTGCTGTACTGTATGTTTGTAAGTTTTCTCCTCAACAAAAACAATGCCGACGAAACGTTTTGCACCGTCATAGGCACCTGCGGTAGCACCCGAGAGGCAGAGGAAGATAACCATGGCACAAAAAACGTTGGACTTCTGGGACCATACGGCGCACCGAAGGTGCATTAAGCTTAAATGAAGCAATTAAGCTTACATTTAAATTCATTAGTTCTAAAATCCGTCATTATTATTTATAGGAAAACAAATATACTGTATGTTTACTTTTCAAATAAATGTTTGGACCTGAAAACAGTTTGATCTTTGGTTTCATTCTATAATACTGGACTTATTTTTCTACGAAGGTTTGAACTTTGAGAAGTTTAAACAAGAGAAAAGTGTGAAAATGTTCAATGCCTGTCTGAGAAAAGTGTATAAAGTGTGTAGTGAGGGGTTTTACAGCCTTAAAACATCTAAATAATTGTAAAAAAATAGTTGGCTACTTTGCGGATTTCACCTTGCTGGTTATTTTTAGAACACCGCGATAAACGAGAAACACTATATACAAATACTAAGAAATATAAAATTTGAATCCTTTTTCTATTTTGCCCTGAGGCGAGGGGGAAAATATCGACAAGTCGATGAACATCATCTACAGATATATTCGTTAAATGCTCAAGACATCTCGAGAAATGTAAATCGCCGCTTGATTCATTCATTTGGTTGACCTGTTTTTATAAAACCCGACCGTAAACAAGGTGCGAATATCACACCGGAAACGAAGCGCCTTACAGGAGTTTCCCCACCGGAAGTAGCATATGCTAAAGTGCACATAATCTATAGCTGCATGCTGGTGTTATTTTGGAGTTTAGAGGAGCAGTGAATCTAAAGAGCATGGTTAATGGCACTAACAACTAACATTAGAGTTTGTTTTGATCTCATTTTTTAATAGTACTCTTATGCAGGGTTTGAAATGTCTAGTTATTTGAAAAATAGAAAGTAAAATAAAGGATAGAAAGTGGGGAACACCTCCGAGCAGGTTCATATGTGTCTCAATAAATGTATAACGGGCTTATCAAGATCTCACCTTTAGGTCGGACACATCTTTATAGCACTTTTCGGAACGGGTGTGATCAGACAGCTGGACGTTCCAGAAGCAAGGCAGCTGATGAACCAGGAACGGGTTTTGTTTGATCACTGCGTTAAAGATATCCTGCAGACACAAAATCATATAAGATATGATATCCCCACACAAAAAACCCCCCACATATTTAGGTTGTCCATTCTTTAATCTGCTGAAAGAGATGTGTCTTCCTGAATGTTTTAAATGTGGTACAAATGCTTACTTAAAGACCTAAGTTGGAATCTGCTTTGTGAGTATTTTTCTGTGTTTAATTGATCGATTTAGATTTTTTACGTACATGAATCATTTTATCATCATCAGCAACCGGAGAGCTGGGAGGGATTACTACCTGCCTCGTGGTTTTATGTTTAATAAAAAGCAAGTGAAAAAGATATTCTGGAATCTTACTGGTCTGGGCCCAGTTTCATAGTTCTGACTCAGCCACCATCCTGTTAAGTGTGCTGTATGTATCCAGATGTTCATCCTTATACGGTCCATTTATACGTACACTCACTCTCATAAAGCGAAAAACTTGAAATTGCTTTGAGGAAATGAAGTCTGGTTACATCTGACAGATTTTTCTTTAACTTTGAGATTTTTGAAAACTCACAAAGCAAAAGCCTAAGTAGCAGCTTTAGCTTCCTAATGGGAAACATAAAAACTATTTAACCATGTAATGAATACTACAATAAAGTGGGCTGACAGTCCATGGAAGGAAGTCATATAGCAGAAGGCAGATGGAAAGCTGAAAGGAGCCTGCTCCTTTTCCAAACTGCCTACCTTGCGGGAATTTTACTTAATGAAGGTTTAATTTAACTCTCATAACCATACCTCTCATCTAGACAAGCTCTGAATAACTAAATGGAAAAAGGATAACTTCACAAAGCTCTCAGTGTTTGCCCTGTGACTGTTGGTGTGGAACAACTCAAAGAGTATGATAACATGTCTTTGTGACCACTGGCACATAGGTATGCCCAAGTGGACTGTGGAAACTGTGAAGACCACTAACATATACATGAAGAGTTCTATCATCCTGGCACAGGCACAATGCAGGACTCCAGTTATTTAGTATATTTAGTTTTGCAAAAGATCTAAACATTAAAGTTTCAGAGGAGAAAGAGTCTTATAAGTTTTATTTAGCTTGTAGGTGTCTTGAGTCAGCTGACAGTCACTGACAATCCAAGAGGAGAATGGATCTGCAGTAGCTGAAGCAAAAACTCAGGTGTGGCAGGAGCTCATTGGTATGGGCCATTAGGTCCCTGTACAACTGTAGTGAAAGCTCTCGATCCAGCAGTAAGTCGGACCCTTTGTTATCAATTCTGTTCCTAAATTTTATGACCAACATTTTTAGGTGAGGCAAGTGACTTTATAGGCAGTGACCTCCAGCTCCCACTGGGTGATTTGCAACCAAGTTTTAAAGCAAAAGAAATGAGAATTGCCCCCTCTAAATCTGACACGATTGTTCTCAGATGGCAAAGGGCTGCATGCAGCTAAGGGAGGAATCGCTGTTTATTTTGACGTCCTATTTACTGAGCGAAGAGTGAAGCAGGTCACTGACAAGTTGAGGGAGGATGTCTATAGATAGACAGCTGCCTCTGTAAGCTGGACCCAGATAAGCGTGAGAAAATGGATGAAGGTTAAAACTATATCTTTTGAGATACATTGTAAAGCTGGGCATACACTGTGCAATTTTGGCACATTTTGAGCCGATTTTTCAGTCGTGCGACCATTTTGGGGATCGGCCCGAGTTTCGCCTTAATCGTGTGTTGTGCATCGTGTAGGTCGTATATGTGGGGTAACAAGAAGCGATTAACACCTCACGACCAGCTCCCGATCAACAATCGTTTGGTCGTAAGAAAATCAAACATGTTTGAAATCCTGTCGCCCGTCGTGAGGGTGTCAACGCAGCCTCTCACACTGCGCACGCGCAAACACAGAAATGAAAGTGAAAAGACGGAGCAGCACGGCAGTGCAGCGTATGATGGAGGCACAACTTGTAGAACTTTGGAAAGCTCATCCGAGCCTTTTCGATGTGGCCTCACAAAATTATCACGACCACAACAACCGTGAAAATAGTTGGATTTACACTGCTGCTCAATCACAGCTGCCTGATCAATGTTTTTCATTAGCAATTTAGCAAAGTTGATGGTGGTGGTGTGTCTGTGTGAGTGAAAGACAGAGAGGGAGAGCGAGCGACAGAATTTCTGTTATAACCTTCATTTTATGGAGGCACAGTGTGAGCACTCAGGTCGCATCAGAGCATCGGGTCGTATAGTGTGAGACCCTGCATCGTGACCTATGAACTTCTAACCCCTGCGAGTCAATCGTACAGTTTGAGCAGGAGCTGAATCGCGCGACTGAAAAAATCGCACAGTGTTTGCTCAGCTTAAGACTAACGCCTGATTTAGACTTTTGCAGGCAACCTTTACCATTACGTGTTCATGTTCCAGTGTTTCAACTGTGATGTCAGCCAATTAAAAAAAAGAAAAATGCTGGTACTTTTCTCTCCCAGGTCCCTGCTCTTTGCTGTGGCCAGTGAATTTTTGGTGGTTTTCTTGGGGGGGAAAAAACAATAGTGGATCACTGACCTTCAGAACCATTTTCCAAAGGGGGGGAAACCCAACCTCTGACCCCAAAGGGGCCAGAGTTGATTTTGTTTTCCAGTAACTGCTGTGACATCATTTTGTTTTCAACAAATTAAAGAAACATTTGAACAGTTCAATCATCAATATCCAACATGTCATTTTTTTGTACAGTCTATAACCTTTATTGAGTGCAACATTTGATACTCATACTAATTATACACAACTGAAAATCTTTTTTTAATGACTTTTATTATAATGGCAGGTTTACCCACCAGTCCCGACTACCTTTTCCTGGTGATTTCATCCAGTACCAGAGTGAGATATTCCTATTCAGATTTTAACTGTCACTGAATGCAGAGTTGTCAAATTTAAAGGACATTTTTATATTGGTGCAGCACCATAATGCTGTGCTGTCAGTATATGAAAGCACAACAGGTTTATTTAATTATGTAAGTCCGAAAATACTACTTTCAAATACAGCTGTTTTCACAATTTAAATGACACAATTGTGATGTGAGCTATGACAGTGTGTGTGTGTGTGTGTGTGTGTGTGTGTGTGTGTGTGTTTGTGTGTGTTTGTGTGTGTGTGTGTGTGTGTGTGTGTGTGTGTGTGTGTGTGCGTGTGTCTTACCTGGTCTGCCAAGGAAGTGGACAGCATGCTCATTAGTTCCCTTTCTGCAGTCAGTCTCCACATCTGCTCCCATCTGAGCTTTCGCAGACGATCCAGGAAGGAGCACAGAAAACCCACCTGGTAAATGCACACACATGCTCCAAACACACACACACACACACACACACACACACACACACACACACACACACACACCACACAAACACACACACACACACACACACAAAAGCACCACATAAATAAAAATAAAGACTGTGATTGCTCTAGCTGTTCTTAAGGAACGCCAGCTCTTCCTTAAGACCAGCTAGACGCAGTGCCAGAAGTGCTGTTTCTCATTCACATTTTCTCATTTTGTTTCCTTTCTTAAATTCAGTCATCTAGACTTTACTTTACACAGCTAACATGCTAAAAGCAGGTTATAAGGTACTCACCAGTGTTAAAGCCTCTGCCCAGTGCTGGCCAGGGTCGATGGTTCTTCCACAGGTTCCCCAGATACCAGTCACTCTGGTTCTCTACCAGACCTAGAACTTGCTGGCCTGCCACACACATACATATCATGACTGTTCTCACTTGTTTTTTGTTTTTTTTTGTCTCAAACAAGCACCTTTTTATCTCCACAACCTTCAATTCATTCAACTCTAACCTGCTGCACAGTGGCTGCAATGTCATTAGTAATTACTGATTTGTAGTATTTTGAGGAAAAAAAATAAAGGCATTTCATAAGGGATGAGGACAAAACATCATGATTATATTGGGAGGAATAACTGTATGCCACAGTCCTGGATCTGGTGACCCAGTGTTTGTGTTTTTTGATTTATATAATATAATATTCTTTGATTATTGTTATTCATGGTTTTGGTTATCTTTATTTCTTAGGTTCATAGTGATCTTAGTTCTTCCTCAACTTTTATCTAGCCTGCGTATAGTCGGTGTTCCTTGTTTCATGTCAAGACACCCTTGTCTCTATGTTCTGCATTTCCTGTGTCTCCCTAGTCAGTCGTGTCTCCATGTCTCAGCCTCAAGTCTGCATCTTTGTGAATGTCTCATGTTTTCTGTCTCATTTTGTTAGATTAGCTCCAGCTGTGTTCCCACCTGTTTCCCATCCTCTCGTTACCCCTCTGTGTATTTAAGGTTTGCTGCTGAATGGACTGTGTATCTCCCCTGATGGTTCTACTTTCCCCATCTCATGTCGGTATTTTGCTATGAGCCTATGTTTTAGTTTCTTCCCAGTTTAGGCTTTGTAGTTTATTCGTTGTCTCTTTTCACGTTGCATTTGTGTCCTGTTCCGCTGCTAATAAAGGCTCACTTTCGGTTTAAGTCCGTCCAAAGCGTCTGCATTTGGGTCCAATGTCTCTCTACTCCGAGTTCAGCAAGACTTTGAAAGGACGTATGTAGATTGTTTAGATAAGAGAATTTATAGAAACAATCTGCTCGTTTCTAGAGCGGGTTGATTGCATCATTTGAGAAAGTGTTTCAATAGCAGTAACAATAGATTAAAACTGCACGAATGACATAACATGAGCTTAATAGTGGAGTGAAAAACTGTTGCCTCAGAGCAAGAAGGTCTTGGGTTTGAATTCACTATCTGGCCGGGGCTTTTCTATGTGGAGTTCTCTCCTATCAATTGTCTCTCTGCAAGAAAGACGCATCAGTAGCAGACACTTTAGGGTCAAATATCATTACATCCAGATCCAATAGAAACCTAATCATATCATAAAACCAGCTTTTATGTTAAATTCACAACAAAGTGTCAAAAACTTTAATTGCTGCCTCATAAATGGAACCACGCTGCAATAAAAAGAAGCAAGAATTGAATTCACTCATACATTTAAAGCTTTTGAGTCACTGAACAAAAAGTATAAAGACAGCAAGAGGGTGGAATTAAATATAACTGGGAGATTAAGAGAAGAGAGGAGGAGGGGAGTATGCGGGCTTTAAGGTGAGAGATTACTGAAGGAAGCTGGGCAGAGATAAAGGTTGAGGAAAGAGGCAGTGGGAGCCTGGAGAGAAGAGCATGGGTGCAGTGGTGGCAGGTTTAATGAAGGCTATAAGGAAGATTAATGAGAGCTTATTGGAGCAGGCAGCAGAGAGCAGGGTGCTCCTTTACAAAGGCTACGAAACAAAGAACGCAGATCTGCCTGAGCAGGATAATTAGAGCTCAAATACAAAAAGCTATAGTTTATAAAGGTTAATCAAACTGGATGGCCACAATATTTGTGTGAAATTAGTTGAGTTCCAAGTCAAAAAACCCCCACAGGCAACAGTTATTCAGTGTTAGACTGCATCATGAAATAAATCAAAAACAGCACTGTCCGAATGTTCCTACAGCACCTGAACTAAGCAGGAGTGTGAGTGGTAGTGACAGAGACAAGGCGCAGCTCTTTGGCCCAATTACTCACCCTAAGAGGTGTAATCTAGCTGTAAACCCAAACACTCAAACTACTTAAATAAATTAATGTAAATGTATTTTTTTAAAAACACTCCTACTAAAATGGTAAATGGCCTGTATTTGTATAGCGCTTTACTAGTCACTAAGGACCCCAAAGCGCTTTACACAGCCAGTCATCCACCCATTCACACACACTACTAACTCAAATAGCTTAAGTTCCTGTAACATGTTTCAACATATTATTTTTAATGAACTTATTAGCAGTGTTGGTCAACTTACTAGAAGATAGTAATTAGTTACTAATTACTGATTACTTCTCCAAGAGGGTAATCCCATTACTTTACTGATTACTTATTTTCAGAAGTAATTAGTTACGTTAGTACTCAGTTACTTGTTAAAAATATGATACACAACCTGAATACGTAATAAAACAATAGACCTTTCAACCCAATTCTATTTTTTCTGCATAATCCATCATATAAAATTGAATCAAATGAAAAGTCTCTTTTAAAATTGTTTTATGAGTTTTAATTTTATGCACATTGCATTAAGCAAAAATTATATGTAGCTGTCTTTGACTTGAAGAAATTTGTTTAACATTTAAACCTGTTTTCTGCATATTTCAAAAATATAAAATAAAATAATTTTTTGTGTTTACACTCACTCTTTCAAATAGATGATTAAATAAAATCAAAGATTCAGCTGCACTGAGTACTGTCGCTCTTAAATCTATTTTCACCTGTTTAGCAGGAGTGGGGCGGGTGGAAGTTTGCCCAGTGCTGCAGCGGTCATGTCAGTGGGGGGATCTGGGGGTTTCTCTGTGAATTTCACATTCCTGTGGCAGTGTGCTCGGTGTTTGCTCAGATTTTCTTCCCATGCACAGTTCACAGCAGACGCTAAGGGTGCAGGGATAGCACAGTAGGTAGAGTGGTCGCCCCATGATCGGAAGGTCGGGGGTTTGAATCCACTGAACGGCTACCCTGAGGTACCCCTGAGCAAGGTACCGTCCCTACACGCTGCTCCCCGGCGCCTGCTTAGTGGCTGCCCACTGCTTCACTGAGTGAATGGGTCAAATGCAGAAAGTAATTTCCCCACAGGGATCAATAAAGTACACATTATTGATGTTTCTGTCCCTTTTTACGGAATCAAACTCAAAGTAATGTAGTTACTTTTTTACGCTTTACAAAATCATGTTTTGGTGACGCAGTAACGCAGCGTGCTTATGAGAAAGTAACAGTCATCTAATTACTTTTTTCAAGTAATGAGTGAAGTAAGGGGTTAATAGTAATCCCTTACTTTACTCATTACCTGAAAAAAGTAATCAGATTACAATAACACGTTACTTGTAACTTGTAATGTTTCCTTGTTATGTAAATATATTTCTCCCCCAATGTCATACCTAAGAGGTTTGTTCCTTCGATCTTCATCAGTCAACAGATTCGCCAACACAGCTGCTTATTGTGGGGTTTTTTCTAACCAGGAGCAGCTCTAATATGTTTTTTCTTAACATTTTCAATGTTCTAAAACCTCTGGAAGCCTTCCACTTCATTGTTCTGCCCACTTTGAACTAAACACACCTGTGTAGCTTCTGTAAGTGTGGGTGTAAACCAGCACCTGTCCATAGAGAGCTGGGCGACGAGAGTGACATCTGTGTTGTCAGAGCTGGGTTTATACTCATAGTGCAGGAAGTAGAGGTGTGTTCGATGGACAGTGAATCGCTCTCGACGAAACTCGTAGCATGGATCATCTTCATCCAGCTCTGACAGTGTCTTCTGGAGCTGCAGATAGAGAAAGATAGGAAGAATAAGACAGATTATAGACCAGAGAGACAGAATCTCAACAACAACAAAAAAAAACTAGACAAAACATGCATGTCACTGAGTGAAATAAGTATTTGACCCCCAAACAAAACATGTCTAGTACTTGATGGGGAAACCCTTTTTGCTGGTAATTCTCGTAGTTTGGACACATCTCAGGAGGGATTTTGTGTTACCAATGGTAGTCTTGGTGACTGTGAGCTGCATTCATCTGCCTTCAGATGATTAACAAGCTCCTCCTGTGTAGTTCTGGGCTCATCCACCACCTCACTCTTAACCATCCTCACCCTACGAGGCAAGATTTTGCAAGGGACTGTGGCTGCAAGGTGGTTGGTATCTATGGGAGTGGTAATCCCTGAACCATATGGTGGACAGAGGTGAAAGGAGCAATCAAGCTGAAGGAGTCGTCTTATCAGTGTTGGTTAATTCAATTCAGTTTTATTTATACTGTGCCAAGTCACAACAACAAGGCGCTTTGAATTGTAAGGTAAAGACCCTACAATAATAAAGAGAAAACCCCAAAAATCATACGATGAGAGTGGGAAGGAAAAACCTGGCATCACCAGGCTCAGGGAGGGTGACACGGTACTGTGAGGCCTGATTACTCAAGACAGGGAGCCAATGAAGAGATGCCAGTATAGGAAAAATATGCTCTCTGTCTATTCACCATCAGTACTTTTGGATTAACTGAAGGGAGTTTTTAAGACAACTTATAATAACAAATTACAATAATTCAGTCTAAAATTAATAAATGAATACACTAGTGTGTCAGTGTCACATGATTTTAGAGATCTTGCACAAATGAAGGAAAGCAGTCGCACATATTTGTATGTGCATTGAAGGACATATCCTGATCAAAAACGATACAAAGTTTCCTTTCAGTGTTACTGGAGGCCAAGGTAATGCCATCCAGCTTTGTAGTACAACACTCGTCAAAGGACAAGTGTTGTACTACAAAGCAAACAGGGATGACAGACTAAGGTTGGTGTTCCCACAGCAGCAGCGGGAGCAAGTTTTAAGATTGGGGCATATTATTCCACGGGTGGGGCATCTGGGAACTAAGAAGACAAGGGACCGAATTTCCAGCAGGTTCTATTGGCCAGGTATGAACAGAGAGGTTGAGGAGTTTTTCTTGCTCAATCTGTCAGCTGGCTGGTGATAAAAATGTCCCAAAATTTCCTTTAAAGCCTTTTCCTGTTATTGATGTTCCATTCAGTCGCATTGCAGTGTGGCCGCTAGAGTGAACCCAGGCAGGTAATCGCTATATATTAGTGGTTTGTGCCTACAGTACCAGATATCCAGAAGCATTTCCCCTTAGGGAAATTACAGCTAAACAGACAGCTTATGCTCTCTTGCAGGTTTTTTTCCCAGGTGGATACTCCATCTGAGATTTTGACGGATGATGGTTTTGAGTTTCTTTTACATACCCTGAGGCAGGTGTATAAGCTTTAAGGTATTAGCAGTATTTAGACCCCAAACAGATGGCTTGGTGGAGAGATACAATCGAACTCCGAAAGCAATGTTGAAGAATTTCATCTCAGCTGATGCTAAAGATTGGGACATGTGGCTTCCTGATTGGCTGTTCGCTTATAGGGAAGTGCCTCAAGCATGAACCGGCTTTTCACCTGCTCCTGTATGGCAGGCAGGTGAGAGGACCATTGGATGTTCTGCAGGAATCCTGGGTGAGGCCAAGGAAAGAGGTGACGAGCGTGTTGGACTACATTCTTCAGATGAGGGAGAAAATGGAGCAAAACACCAAATTGGTGAAGAGGCATATGCAGAGTACTGTTACAACAGGGCCGCAAGGGAGAGCTCGTTCAGCCAAGGACAGCAGGTACTCTTAATACTTCCTACTGCTGAAAACAAATTGTTGGCTAAATGGCAAAGTGCTGTGCTAAGAAAGCAGTTCAACAACTCATGAGATCCAGATGCCAGAGAGAAGAAATCCAAAACAAATTTCACATCAATCAGCTAAAGCAGGGGTGGGCAACTCCAGGCCTTGAGGGCCGGTGTCCTGCAGGTTTTAGATATCACCCTGGGTCAACACACCTGAATCAAATAATTAGTTCATTACCAGGCCTCTGGAGAACTACAACACATGCTGAGGAGGTAATTTAGCCATTTAAAGCAGCTGTGTTGGATCAAGGAAACATCTAAAACCTGCAGGACACTGGCCCTTGAGGCCTGGAGTTGCCCACCCCTGAGCTAAAGGAATGGAAAACCCAGAATAATCCAATCCAGCAGCGGTTGTTCGTGCAAACTGTGGCTGAGGAGGATGATATCAATGAGGAATTTATACCTGTTGGGCTTAACTCTGCCTCTCTTGACCTCTCCCATCTCTCTGTAACTCAGCAGGAGAAGCTGCATGCCATTATTCCTGCCAAGTTATTTTTAAGAAGAAACCAGGGATGAGAAACCTTGTGGAGCCTGACATCTGCCTGAAAGAGAGTACACCAATATGGCAGAGAATGTACAGGATTGGAGTTTTGGAGAAGTAGGTAGCTCTGATATTGGATTTGGGGGTTACTGAGCCCCCAACCAGTGAATGGAGCAATCCTATTGTGATGGTAAAAGCTGTAATTGTAAAAGAAATTGAAATTTCGTTTAAACTCTGTTCCAGTGAAAATAAAAGCATTCTAAACTCAAATGGATTCCTTGGAAAGAAAAGTTTCACCATCTCCACCAATCCATGAATTAATTTGTTTTCAACTGACAGCATGGCAAGAGCATTTAACCTCTGCTGTCCCATGGTGTTGCATGTGAAGGTCTTAATTCTTTTCCACTTTATAATCACTTCTGCTGAATCAAGCAGAAGCTTTTCAATTTCTGGCAGTGACACTCTTTCAGATAAGGCATCCTGAAGGTTGTTCTCAATTAACTCGAGCAGAAACGAGTATTTCCTGTGTGCAACTCAAAGATACTGTACAGTGACTTCATCCTAATTTTGATCGCTCCTTCAAGTGTGACACTGGGAAATGATGTGACAAACTTCCTTCAGAGAATACAGTCCGTTATTCTCCGGAGGAAGTCGGACGGAATAAGGTGACCACTTTTGATAAATGTCTCCTGTACCTGCACGACACATTTAGTCCTCTTATTCTTTCTCTCTCAGTCAACCCACTCTCTCTAAAACTGTGTGTTTGACTGGATGATCATGGCCATTTTTACATATTGCTTTTCGAGGACATACATCATATTAAACTCTGGTGTCAGCATAGAAAAACTGTAGAACCTGTAAAAATGAAATAAAGCAAATAAACCTGCAAAAATAAAAAAAATACTTCCAAATCAGAGAGTCTTGTTGACTGCTGAAGTGCCCACTCCTACCTATCTATCTATCTATCTATCTATCTATCTATCTATCTATTGCATCATCATAGGTTTGCACAATTAATTTATTCTTGCTATTTTATTGCTTGCGAGTCATTTTGTCCTTAACCTAAACGAATGCAACTTCACATGTGCTAAAAAGTTTCTGCACGTTATGATTCTAGCGAGAACAGACCTGTTGTCTGCTGTTTGCTGACTGTGAAGGTCAGTGGCACTTTTGCGTCAGTCTGAGCCACTGACTTTGATCATGAACATTATTACCGACATGTGAACAGCTGCTTTTGTGTCTGGCATGGTAGATAGACTGGTGCTTATGCTATATTCTCCTGCTCTGCCTTAGCTCTGAGCACTTTATACAACATGCCTCATTCAACCATCAAACAAGCCCTATCTATGCTGAGATTCTATAGTATATTTCACACTGTTTGTGTGCCGGGGATACAAGTTTCACCTGGTTGGAGTTTTGTTTAAGTAAATGTTTATCACTGTTGACAGTAGAGGGCAGCAGGGTGCCTGCTGTGGGACTGTTATGGCAAGACACACCTCTGTTCATTCTATTCTACAGATTAGTAATGGCTCCAAAAGCACAAAAACTTATTAATGAACACTGAAGATTATCCTCTGTTACTCCAGGCTATGTTTACAATGTCCAATATGTAACACTGTGCTTACTTGAGCTACTCTGGCTAAAATAAAAATTGCATAGATATGCTTCAAGCACAGGTAATGTCTTTTAACACAGAATCATTGTCATGGTCCTGGGTCATTTTGACCCAGTGTTCCTAGTTTTTCTTGTGTTTTTGTATTTTGTTAGTTCATTATTTATTCCATGGTTCCTAGGTTGTTCAGTTTAGTTTATTGGATTCCCCCCTTGTGTCTCTGCCCTCTGTGTCTCCCTCTGTGTCTGTGTTTATATTGTGGGGTGAGTTCTTGTGCCGTGGTTCCCTTCATGTTTTATTGTGTTAGGTTTTCCATGTTTCCCCAGCGTGTCGTGTCTGTGCTCTCCCTCGCTGTGATCTGCCTCTCCTCTACTCCCACATCATGTTTCCTGTTTTATTGTGAAGGTCCTGTGTTTTCATGTTTATTCTGTTCAGTCCAGTCGCCCCTGTCTCGTTATGGTTATTCATGTCAGCTGTGTTCCTTGTGTCTTCTCACTTCCTTGTTATCCCTCTGTGTATTTAGGTCAGCATCTCCCTCAGTCCTCTGTTGTGTCGTCCCTCATGGCTGCGTGTCTCTCCCTGTGTTTCCCCATGAGTTCATATTCTTAGATTTTCCCGGTTTAGTTTTGTATCGCTCCCTCTGTTCCCGGCAATAAAACTGTATTTTGAATTCACGTTTTTCTTAAGTGAGTTTGCGTTTGAGTCCAATTCCTGGTTCATGACAATCCTGCTCTCTTAAAATGTAAAGATCAGATCACTTAGTTTTAGATTTTCTGTTCAGTGTTTGTATGTTAATTATACAAAGCAGGTCTGAAGTTATTCAGACCCCCCAAACAAAACATTTGAATACTGTCAGTAGCCAACTTGACTGGGAACACGTAAAGCATAAAAGGAATATGAGTCATGTCAATAAAAACTTTAGGAAGTACAATACACATGGATATAGGTTTCTTCCTTCCTTCCTTCCTTCCTTCCTTCCTTCCCTCACCCTCAAAAGACGACTATCCCTCCCTGAGCCTGCTTCTGCTAGATCACAGGTGTCGAACTCCAGGCCTCGAGGGCCGGTGTCCTGCATGTTTTAGATGTGTCCTTGATCCAACACAGCTGATTTAAATGGCTAAATTATCACCTCAACATGTCTTGAAGTTCTCCAGAAGCCTGTTAATGAACTAATAATTTGAGTCAGGTGTGTTGAAACAGGGTGATATCTAAAACCTGCGGGACACCGGCCCTCGAGGCCTGGAGTTCGACACCCCTGTGCTAGGTGTTTCCTCCTGTTAAAGAGCTAATGATAGGAATTCATAAAACATGGCGCACACCTCAGAAGCAGTAAAGGCATCATGAGTGTAAGTGATGCAAAATGTCCATGTGCATCCACAATGCTAATGCTAATGTCTGACTAGCCAGCATACCCTGAACCTACCATGTCAGGTATTAATTTAATGTACTAGGCATAGCAGTTACATCAGGAGATGTAGAAACTCTCATGTATGTTGTCAATACCAAGTCAAGAGTTAAGAGAATTCCTGACTTGTTTCAATTTATAAGAAATTTACTCTTTGTTCGCTACAAATGTAACTTGTTTCTAACTAAATGGATGATGGCAGTTTGAATCCCACAGTGGTTAAGCACCATCTCAAATAACTTCACTACACTGACAACAGAAACAGAAGCACAGAAGTTCCACATACATTCTCACTGTTGTGGTCAGCCTCACTGGGACAGCCGAACAGCTCTCGTCGCAGAAGGTTGCCATCGTACTCCAGAAAGGTAAGATAGAGATTCCGGAAGAATTCCACATGCTTGTTCTTTACTCGCAACTTCTTTGGAGAGTTCCAGTGGATCACCTGTTGAGGAGAACCACAAATGGGAGGGTGGTGAAGAAGCTTCTGGTATCATCAGGTTCTAAAGAATCAGAGCAATAAACCAAAACATTTACACTGCGCTTTGCCAAGAGTGCAGAACAAAGTTACTACTTGTTGTTAACACTTGTCTGTTATTTGGCTCAATACCTGGCAAAAATCATGAGAGAGCAGTGAAGAAAAGCCTCATTATACTGTTTGCTAAGATGTGAAATTACTTCACTCAGTGCTTTAGACAAAGGTGCCATTTCACTAACTGCACTTTTTTGCAGATTGATATAAATACGTTTCAGCAATGCCATTCAAGATGCTCAATTGTCACTTTCAGCAACTCAGTGTTTTGGCCAAGAACACTTTGTGGACATAGAATGAACTGCCAACAGTGCGAGGAGCACATGTAGCATTATCCAATGCAAGAAGATACATTATAGAAGAAACCACATGAAAGAATCCACAAAACTGCCAAAACATGTCTGAGGCTATTTACAGCATGGCTTCACTTTTGATTGGTAAGATCAAGAGCTTTTCCTAAAACTGATTCAGCAGAGTTTCTTAATGTCTTTGTTTAACGGTCTCAAAAGCACTGTGCTAGTGTGGAAAGTTAAATACGTCCAGTTATTTTCTATTACTTTTACTTGGATGACTAAAAACCTACACAGACCAGTGTGGTAAGAACAGTAACAGACCCTGTGCACGAGAAAATGCTAAGTTCCTGTTTTAAGACCGGATGTAGGCTTGTACATTTCTGGTAGCTTTACTTTGCGGTCAATCGCTACTGCGAAGGTGGACTCCAAAATCATGTCCGAAATACGAAAACGGAAAGATTACATTAAGTTACAAAGAGCAAAAGGTGTGCACACTCACCATTGCCGTGTCAGTAAAAATAAAATGATCAATTTTGACGTTTGAAGCGTGTAGATCGATTGGTTGTTTACATCACATCAGAAGACACATCGTCCACATTTAGAAGCACATCTCTGTATAGTGACAGTTCTTATGATTTAAACAGGCAAATGTCCAGCATTCAAACTACAGGTGAACAATAGTCAAAGCCAGATGTTTCCCCGTTATATCGATATCAGTACACACCTACACAGCATGTCAACAAACCGTGAAAAAAAGCCACAGGATATAAAAAAATACATGAATGATTGCTGGTAAGGGTCTCTATATATTAGTATTTACGAAGGGTATGTTGTGACTTAGCTTCACAATTACAGTGGTCCCTCGCTATAACGCGGTTCACCTTTCGCAGCCTCGCTGTTTCGCGGATGTTTTTAGTGCAATTTTGCCTGATTTTTTTTAATTTTTTTAAAGCGCAGTGTGTACTGCGTTCTGATCGACTGCAGACCATTGTCGATCTCCGTGCTGTCTCTCCTGTCCAGTACAGAATCGCTACATCAATCGCTAGCAGTGTGACTCTGAAGTGCTGTACTGTATGTTTGTAAGTTTTCTCCTCAACAAAAACAATGCCGACGAAACGTTTTGCACCGTCATAGGCACCTGCGGTAGCACCCGAGAGGCAGAGGAAGATAACCATGGCACAAAAAACGTTGGACTTCTGGGACCATACGGCGCACCGGGTTATAAGGTGCATTAAGCTTAAATGAAGCAATTAAGCTTACATTTAAATTCATTAGTTCTAAAATCCGTCATTATTATTTATAGGAAAACAAATATACTGTATGTTTACTTTTCAAATAAATGTTTGGGACTGAAAACAGGTTTTGATCTTTGGTTTCATTCTATAATACTGGACTTTTTTTTTTTTTTTTACGAAGGTTTGAACTCTTAAAGTGTTTAAATGACAGAGAAAAGTGGGAAAATGTCGATGCCTGTCTGAAAAAAACTGTACAAAGCGTGTAGTGAGGGGTTTTACAGCCTTAAAACATATAAAATAATTGTAAAAAAATAGTTGGCTACTTTGCGGATTTCACCTATTGCTGGTTATTTTTAGACACCCGCAATAAACGAGAGAACACTATATACAAATACTAAGAAATATAAAATTTGAATCCTTTTTCTATTTTGCCCTGAGGCGAGGGGGAAAATATCGACAAGTCGATGAACATCATCTACAGATATATTTGTTAAATGCTCAAGACATCTCGAGAAATGTAAATCGCCGCTTGATTCATCCATTTGGTTGACCTGTTTTTATAAAACCCGACCGTAAACAAGGTGCGAATATCACACCGGAAACGAAGCGCCTTACAGGAGTTTCCCCACCGGAAGTAGCATATGCTAAAGTGCACATAATCTATAGCTGCATGCTGGTGTTATTTTGGAGTTTAGAGGAGCAGTGAATCTAAAGAGCATGGTTAATGGCACTAACAACTAACATTAGAGTTTGTTTTGATCTCATTTTTTAATAGTACTCTTATGCAGGGTTTGAAATGTCTAGTTATTTGAAAAATAGAAAGTAAAATAAAGGATAGAAAGTGGGGAACACCTCCGAGCAGGTTCATATGTGTCTCAATAAATGTATAACGGGCTTATCAAGATCTCACCTTTAGGTCGGACACATCTTTGTAGCACTTTTCGGAACGGGTGTGATCAGACAGCTGGACGTTCCAGAAGCAAGGCAGCTGATGAACCAGGAACGGGTTTTGTTTGATCACTGCGTTAAAGATATCCTGCAGACACAAAATCATATAAGATATGATATCCCCACACAAAAAACCCCCCACATATTTAGGTTGTCCATTCTTTAATCTGCTGAAAGAGATGTGTCTTCCTGAATGTTTTAAATGTGGTACAAATGCTTACTTAAAGACCTAAGTTGGAATCTGCTTTGTGAGTATTTTTCTGTGTTTAATTGATCGATTTAGATTTTTTACGTACATGAATCATTTTATCATCATCAGCAACCGGAGAGCTGGGAGGGATTACTACCTGCCTCGTGGTTTTATGTTTAATAAAAAGCAAGTGAAAAAGATATTCTGGAATCTTACTGGTCTGGGCCCAGTTTCATAGTTCTGACTCAGCCACCATCCTGTTAAGTGTGCTGTATGTATCCAGATGTTCATCCTTATACGGTCCATTTATACGTACACTCACTCTCATAAAGCGAAAAACTTGAAATTGCTTTGAGGAAATGAAGTCTGGTTACATCTGACAGATTTTTCTTTAACTTTGAGATTTTTGAAAACTCACAAAGCAAAAGCCTAAGTAGCAGCTTTAGCTTCCTAATGGGAAACATAAAAACTATTTAACCATGTAATGAATACTACAATAAAGTGGGCTGACAGTCCATGGAAGGAAGTCATATAGCAGAAGGCAGATGGAAAGCTGAAAGGAGCCTGCTCCTTTTCCAAACTGCCTACCTTGCGGGAATTTTACTTAATGAAGGTTTAATTTAACTCTCATAACCATACCTCTCATCTAGACAAGCTCTGAATAACTAAATGGAAAAAGGATAACTTCACAAAGCTCTCAGTGTTTGTCCTGTGACTGTTGATGTGGAACAACTCAAAGAGTATGATAACATGTCTTTGTGACCACTGGCACATAGGTATGCCCAAGTGGACTGTGGAAACTGTGAAGACCACTAACATATACATGAAGAGTTCTATCATCCTGGCACAGGCACAATGCAGGACTCCAGTTATTTAGTATATTTAGTTTTGCAAAAGATCCAAACATTAAAGTTTCAGAGGAGAAAGAGTCTTAGAAGTTTTATTTAGCTTGTAGGCGTCTTGAGTCAGCTGACAGTCACTGACAATCCAAGAGGAGAATGGATCCGGCAGTAGCTGAAGCAAAAACTCAGGTGTGGCAGGAGCTCATTGGTATGGGCCATTAGGTCCCTGTACAACTGTAGTGAAAGCTCTCGATCCAGCAGTAAGTCGGACCCTTTGTTATCAATTCTGTTCCTAAATTTTATGACCAACATTTTTAGGTGAGGCAAGTGACTTTATAGGCAGTGACCTCCAGCTCCCACTGGGTGATTTGCAACCAAGTTTTAAAGCAAAAGGAATGAGAATTGCCACCTCTAAATCTGACACGATTGTTCTCAGATGGCAAAGGGCTGCATGCAGCTAAGGGAGGATTCGCTGTTTATTTTGACGTCCTATTTACTGAGCGAAGAGTGAAGCAGGTCACTGACAAGTTGAGGGAGGATGTCTATAGCTAGACAGCTGCCTCTGTAAGCTGGACCCAGATAAGCGTGAGAAAATGGATGAAGGTTAAAACTATATCTTTTGAGATACATTGTAAAGCTGGGCATACACTGTGCAATTTTGGCCCATTTTGAGCCGATTTTTCAGTCGTGCGACCATTTTGGGGATCGGCCCGAGTTTCGCCTTAATCGTGTGTTGTGCATCGTGTAGGTCGTATATGTGGGGTAACAAGAAGCGATTAACACCTCACGACCAGCTCCCGATCAACAATCGTTTGGTCGTAAGAAAATCAAACATGTTTGAAATCCTGTCGTGAGGGTGTCATTGCAGCCTCTCACACTGCGCACGCGCAAACACAGAAATGAAAGTGAAAAGACGGAGCAACACGGCAGTGCAGCGTATGATGGAGGCACAACTTGTAGAACTTTGGCAAGCTCATCTGGGTCTTTTCGATGTGGCCTCACAAAATTATCACGACCACAACAACCGTGAAAATAGTTGGATGGACATTGCTGCTCAGTCACAGCTGCCTGATCAATGTTTTTCATTAGCAATTTAGCAAAGTTGATGGTGGTGTGTGTCTGTGTGAGTGAAAGACAGAGAGGGGGAGCGAGAGGCAGAATTTGTGTTATAAGCTTCATGTTATGGACGCACAGTGTGAGCACTCAGGTCGCATCAGATCAGGCCGTATAGTGTGAGACGCTGCATCGTGACCTACGAACTTCTAACCCCTGCGACTCAATCGTACAGTTGGAGCAGGAGCTGAATAGCGCGACTGAAAAAATTGCACAGTGTTTGCTCAGCTTAAGACTAACGCCTGATTTAGACTTTTGCAGGGAACCTTTACCATTACGTGTTCATGTTCCAGTGTTTCAACTGTGATGTCAGCCAATTAAAAAAAAGAAAAATGCTGGTACTTTTCTCTCCCAGGTCCCTGCTCTTTGCTGTGGCCAGTGAATTTTTGGTGGTTTTCTTGGGGGGGAAAAAACAATAGTGGATCACTGACCTTCAGAACCATTTTCCAAAGGGGGGGAAACCCAACCTCTGACCCCAAAGGGGCCAGAGTTGTTTTTGTTTTCCAGTAACTGCTGTGACATCATTTTGTTTTCAACAAATTAAAGAAACATTTGAACAGTTCAATCATCAATATCCAACATGTCATTTTTTTGTACAGTCTATAACCTTTATTGAGTGCAACATTTGATACTCATACTAATTATACACAACTGAAAATCTTTTTTTAATGACTTTTATTATAATGGCAGGTTTACCCACCAGTCCCGACTACCTTTTCCTGGTGATTTCATCCAGTACCAGAGTGAGATATTCCTATTCAGATTTTAACTGTCACTGAATGCAGAGTTGTCAAATTTAAAGGACATTTTTATATTGGTGCAGCACCATAATGCTGTGCTGTCAGTATATGAAAGCACAACAGGTTTATTTAATTATGTAAGTCCGAAAATACTACTTTCAAATACAGCTGTTTTCACAATTTAAATGACACAATTGTGATGTGAGCTATGACAGTGTGTGTGTGTGTGTGTGTGTGTGTGTGTGTGTGTGTTTTGTGTGGTTTGTGTGTGTGTGTGTGTGTGTGTGTGTGTGTGTGTGGCGTGTGTCTTACCTGGTCTGCCAAGGAAGTGGACAGCATGCTCATTAGTTCCCTTTCTGCAGTCAGTCTCCACATCTGCTCCCATCTGAGCTTTCGCAGACGATCCAGGAGGAGCAAAATAACCCCTGTAAAGTGGACACACACATGCTCAAACACACACACACACACACACACACACACACACACACACACACACACACACACACACACACACACACACACACACACACACACAAAAGGTACAAACAAAGATGGTAGCTTAAGAAACAGAGTGATTGGCGTCTAGCTGGTCTTAAGGAAGGCCAGCTCTTCCTTAAGACCAGCTAGACGCAGTGCCAGAAGTGCTGTTTCTCATTCACATTTTCTCATTTTGTTTCCTTTCTTAAATTCAGTCATCTAGACTTTACTTTACACAGCTAACATGCTAAAAGCAGGTTATAAGGTACTCACCAGTGTTAAAGCCTCTGCCCAGTGCTGGCCAGGGTCGATGGTTCTTCCACAGGTTCCCCAGATACCAGTCACTCTGGTTCTCTACCAGACCTAGAACTTGCTGGCCTGCCACACACATACATATCATGACTGTTCTCACTTGTTTTTTGTTTTTTTTTGTCTCAAACAAGCACCTTTTTATCTCCACAACCTTCAATTCATTCAACTCTAACCTGCTGCACAGTGGCTGCAATGTCATTAGTAATTACTGATTTGTAGTATTTTGAGGAAAAAAAATAAAGGCATTTCATAAGGGATGAGGACAAAACATCATGATTATATTGGGAGGAATAACTGTATGCCACAGTCCTGGATCTGGTGACCCAGTGTTTGTGTTTTTTGATTTATATAATATAATATTCTTTGATTATTGTTATTCATGGTTTTGGTTATCTTTATTTCTTAGGTTCATAGTGATCTTAGTTCTTCCTCACCTTTTATCTAGCCTGCGTATAGTCGGTGTTCCTTGTTTCATGTCGAGACACCCTTGTCTCTATGTTCTGCATTTCCTGTGTCTCCCTAGTCAGTCGTGTCTCCATGTCTCAGCCTCAAGTCTGCCTCTTTGTGAATGTCTCATGTTTTCTGTCTCATTTTGTTAGATTAGCTCCAGCTGTGTTCCCACCTGTTTCCCATCCTCTCGTTACCCCTCTGTGTATTTAAGGTTTGCTGCTGAATGGACTGTGTATCTCCCCTGATGGTTCTACTTTCCCCATCTCATGTCGGTATTTTGCTATGAGCCTATGTTTTAGTTTCTTCCCAGTTTAGGCTTTGTAGTTTATTCGTTGTCTCTTTTCACGTTGCATTTGTGTCCTGTTCCGCTGCTAATAAAGGCTCACTTTCGGTTTAAGTCCGTCCAAAGCGTCTGCATTTGGGTCCAATGTCTCTCTACTCCGAGTTCAGCAAGACTTTGAAAGGACGTATGTAGATTGTTTAGATAAGAGAATTTATAGAAACAATCTGCTCGTTTCTAGAGCGGGTTGATTGCATCATTTGAGAAAGTGTTTCAATAGCAGTAACGATAGATTAAAACTGCACGAATGACATAACATGAGCTTAATAGTGGAGTGAAAAACTGTTGCCTCAGAGCAAGAAGGTCTTGGGTTTGAATTCACTATCTGGCCGGGGCTTTTCTATGTGGAGTTCTCTCCTATCAATTGTCTCTCTGCAAGAAAGACGCATCAGTAGCAGACACTTTAGGGTCAAATATCATTACATCCAGATCCAATAGAAACCTAATCATATCATAAAACCAGCTTTTATGTTAAATTCACAACAAAGTGTCAAAAACTTTAATTGCTGCCTCATAAATGGAACCACGCTGCAATAAAAAGAAGCAAGAATTGAATTCACTCATACATTTAAAGCTTTTGAGTCACTGAACAAAAAGTATAAAGACAGCAAGAGGGTGGAATTAAATATAACTGGGAGATTAAGAGAAGAGAGGAGGAGGGGAGTATGCGGGCTTTAAGGTGAGAGATTACTGAAGGAAGCTGGGCAGAGATAAAGGTTGAGGAAAGAGGCAGTGGGAGCCTGGAGAGAAGAGCATGGGTGCAGTGGTGGCAGGTTTAATGAAGGCTATAAGGAAGATTAATGAGAGCTTATTGGAGCAGGCAGCAGAGAGCAGGGTGCTCCTTTACAAAGGCTACGAAACAAAGAACGCAGATCTGCCTGAGCAGGATAATTAGATCTCAAATACAAAAAGCTATAGTTTATAAAGGTTAATCAAACTGGATGGCCACAATATTTGTGTGAAATTAGTTGAGTTCCAAGTGAAAAAACCCCCACAGGCAACAGTTATTCAGTGTTAGACTGCATCATGAAATAAATCAAAAACAGCACTGTCCGAATGTTCCTACAGCACCTGAACTAAGCAGGAGTGTGAGTGGTAGTGACAGAGACAAGGCGCAGCTCTTTGGCCCAATTACTCACCCTAAGAGGTGTAATCTAGCTGTAAACCCAAACACTCAAACTACTTAAATAAATTAATGTAAATGTATTTTTTTTAAAACCCTTCTTCTTAAATTGTTAATTGGCTTTTTTTGTATAGCGCTTTACTAGTCACTAAGGACCCCAAAGCGCTTTACACAGCCAGTCATCCACCCATTCACACACACTACTAACTCAAATAGCTTAAGTTCCTGTAACATGTTTCAACATATTATTTTTAATGAACTTATTAGCAGTGTTGGTCAACTTACTAGAAGATAGTAATTAGTTACTAATTACTGATTACTTCTCCAAGAGGGTAATCCCATTACTTTACTGATTACTTATTTTCAGAAGTAATTAGTTACGTTAGTACTCAGTTACTTGTTAAAAATATGATACACAACCTGAATACGTAATAAAACAATAGACCTTTCAACCCAATTCTATTTTTTTTCTGCATAATCCATCATATAAAATTAATCAAATGAAAAAAGTCTCTTTTTAAAATTTGTTTTACGAGTTTTAATGTTTACATTTTATGCACATTGCATTAAGCAAAAATTATATGTAGCTGTCTTTGACTTGAAGAAATTTGTTTAACATTTAAACCTGTTTTCTGCATATTTCAAAAATATAAAATAAAATAATTTTTTGTGTTTACACTCACTCTTTCAAATAGATGATTAAATAAAATCAAAGATTCAGCTGCACTGAGTCCTGTCGCTCTTAAATCTATTTTCACCTGTTTAGCAGGAGTGGGGCGGGTGGAGGTTTGCCCAGTGCTGCAGCGGTCATGTCAGTGGGGGGATCTGGGGGTTTCTCTGTGAATTTCACATTCCTGTGGCAGTGTGCTCGGTGTTTGCTCAGATTTTCTTCCCATGCACAGTTCACAGCAGACGCTAAGGGTGCAGGGATAGCACAGTAGGTAGAGTGGTCGCCCCATGATCGGAAGGTCGGGGGTTTGAATCCACTGAACGGCTACCCTGAGGTACCCCTGAGCAAGGTACCGTCCCTACACGCTGCTCCCCGGCGCCTGCTTAGTGGCTGCCCACTGCTTCACTGAGTGAATGGGTCAAATGCAGAAAGTAATTTCCCCACAGGGATCAATAAAGTACACATTATTAATGTTTCTGTCCCTTTTTACGGAATCAAACTCAAAGTAATGTAGTTACTTTTTTACGCTTTACAAAATCATGTTTTGGTGACGCAGTAACGCAGCGTGCTTATGAGAAAGTAACAGTCATCTAATTACTTTTTTCAAGTAATGAGTGAAGTAAGGGGTTAATAGTAATCCCTTACTTTACTCATTACCTGAAAAAAGTAATCAGATTACAATAACACGTTACTTGTAACTTGTAATGTTTCTGCGTTGCCGGCTGGTACATATGTACATTCAGATAGTGCACCTTATAAATCACTCCTCGTTAGTTTGTGGTCAGGAAGTGGAATTTCTTGCAGATTCCGGGGCCACTCATTCTGTGTTATGCTCAGATTCTCTCTTTCCACAGGCTGTCTTAAGTGAGAAGTTCACTCATTCTGGATTTGCATCAGGAACCGTTCAGAGGGAAAATTTCACCGTAGCCCCGTCTTGTGTAGAAGGGCAGGGCCAGAAATTCAGACACGGGTCTCTGTGGTCTGATCTGTGTCCCGTCAATTTGCTTGCCAGAGACTTAATGTGTAAATTAAATATAAATTGCATCTCCTGCCATGATGGTATTACACTAATGCAATCAAACTGTGATCATATGATGGTGAAATATTGCCCCGTGATCCTGGCTTTCACTTATGAATGGAAGCTGGGAGGAGGGTTGCTTGTTGAAGAGCTCGTGGCTGCATGCCTCCAGAAGGCCCATTCTCCCAGCAGTTACATTAGACTGGACAAACATGCTCAGCATGTAGAGCTCTGTAGTATCCTCAATATACTGAAGCAGGTTAGGTATCCAAACAAAGAAGAATTCCCACATTTAGAATAAGAAGAACAGAACAGGCCAGTGCACATACTTCACAGAACAAGTTATAGGTGCACGTCAGTGAAACCAATCCAGTATATCACAGAAAAATCATCCATCTTTTATGAAGGTAGAACTGGAGAAGTGTTGATTAAAGAATAAGAACATTTTGGAGGTTTTAGTTTGCGATGCTATTGAAGTGCATCACACAGAGAGGTTTTTCTGTTACTCTCACTGATATGAGGAAGCTTGACATTTTCAGTAGAAACAATAATAGCAACGTGTCTGGACAACAGTTTCTATAACAAAACTAAGCTTTTTACATTTCATAAAAGTAGGAACAGAGGAATGTTGTATGTTTAGTTCAACTAAGTTTTATTTATTCTTACCAAATCCCAAAAGCAGTCACCTTGTGGCACTTTATTTTCTTTATCATTATTCTTTTCTCCTTCTTTTAGCTGCTTCCTTTTGAGCTTGCTACGCTGGATCATCTGTCTTCATCTCACCATGTCCCTGTATCCTCCAGCCTCTGCATACATTAACCTCCTCTGAGGTCTTTCTCTTTTCCTCATGCTTTCAGTCCATGTTAACCATCTGTTGTTCAGTATATCCACTCTCACTCCTCTGCATGTCCAAATTATCTCAGCTTTGCATTTTTAAGTTCAGAGTTCAAAGACTCTACAATAATACAGAGAAACACCAAACAGGGAGGGGCGGGGCCATCTGAGAGAAAAGGAGTTGCATTACCTTTGAACTTGTGGAAGACGGCCCAGAGTTCAGCAATGTCAGTGGCAAAGGTGATGTCTGTGTCTAGAACGATGACTCTCTGTAGATCTGATGGCAGGGTCTTTGTCAGTACCAGTTTCATTAGCCCATAAATCCCAGAGTAATGTTTGTTAGGAATCCATGAGACTTCGGACTGAAACACAAGAGGAAATAAGGGTTGGGATCATTTACTGTTAATAGAAATAGCTCATAATGTTTCGCATTAAATAAAGCAGTAGCCATGAGATCATTAAGCAGCCCAATCAGTAAAGCAGGGTGATGGAGTCTGTGTTCCCCACCTTCAGCTCATCTGCGTCATAGAAGTCCACCCTGACGGCAGGAACCATCCATGTATGAAACAAGGAGGACAGGATCTGCTGAGCAATGGAGTCTGTGATGAAATGGAAATGAAGGGGATTCCGCCTGTAGACACACACAAATACCAAGCTCCAATGAATTCGCGGCTTTTACTTTTACTTCCTGCATCATATCACAAAACATTCAGTACATGCACAGTGGGAGTTTGGAAAGGACAAACTGTCCATTTTTACAAGAAACTTGAAATAAATTCTGCAAAACGTCACCAATGTGCCCATGATCCACATATGTTTCTCATATTCTCTGAAAAATGTTCATCACACATCATGATGTCTAACACACAGATGGCATATTAAATGAGCAGCCACATTTTTTCATTGCGTTTATTTACATGAGCTGTCCGCTAGAAGAATAACCATTTTAGCAAAGTTTGTGAGAGACTGAGTTTAATAAGGCACAAGACGTACAGGTACAGGAATGGAAACTGTTTTCACATCCATTTCAAAATGCACTCATCTTTCCTGTTGTCTTAGAACCCAATCTTTTCTTGTTTAGCACATAAATATAAACTGTACTTTTCCTGGTCAATAAGACTATGTGATATGCGTGAGAACTCCAAAACAAGAAAACAAGTCCAGTTGTTTCAGCTTCAGCATTAATAAATGCATGTGTTAAACCCTAAGGCTGCAAGAGACAGACATGGCACACTGATGGAGAGATGATAATCTTACATCTCATTTCAGCTCAGGGAAGAGGTGTGAGGGATGGGGGTGTAAAATAGGTGTTCAGGACTTCCGAATCAGGTCACAGGAAAGTGACACTAAGCTGAGGATGTGAGCACCCGGGGGTGTCTTATGCTGATTGACTTTGTGTATCAATGTGTCAGCTGCACTGGCTCAATAAGCACTGAAGGCTGGGAGCTGTCAGAATGTATCAGAACCCAGAAAATCAGAAAAGCTGTCAACACAGCAGTGCACATTGAAAAGACCTTCACATCCTTTGGATAAACAGCAACAAGGTTTTGATGGGACGATTAGAATTGTGCTAAAAATAAAGTGTCACGTACATCTGATTATAAAAGCTATTAGGCTGTAGTGACCCATGACAATTTCATCCACATGATGCAACGGCGTTTTCTTGTGGATTTGGTGAAAGACACTAAGATCCACTGTGCTCATATCTGCTCAGAGTGAAGGATTATCCTAAACTACAACAGATGGCGTGTGTGCAACTGGGGCACCTTTTCCCCTCTCAGTGCCCAAACAGTCAGACCATTGGCTGTCAGCCTCACAATATCCTATACGAGTGTGCTTCAACATATCTAATATATCTGTTTATTTAATATACTCGACTGACTGCTTCTGCTGTGTGGTGTGCCAGTCTACTGTACATTTTTAGAAGTTTAAATTTACATCCACTTCTCTTTTAAACCGCCCCAACTTTTCTGTGAGTGTCCCTCACTGGAGATGAGAGCTCAAGTGTGGTAGAGCAGTTTTCAGTGCAAGAGACTACAGTTTCCAAAGTAAGATCAAGACCCTCATCGTGCTCTTTTAAGATATTCAACAATGACAGAGAAAATTTAGCCGAAACATCAGAACCGTGGTGCGTAAAAGAGTCCCATCTTGTGCAGGCTCAAACCTGCACCAAGACAATGCTCACTCACTGACTCAACCAGCCATCACCTTTGGCCTTCTATAACTTCCTTGACCTTCAGTGTCACAGTGGCCATATTTACATCAGATAAGGCTTTTGATTTTATAGATCTGTTCTCAGAATCTTTTGATCACACCTCATTACTTGTAACACTTTTGGAAATGGTAACTAATTAGAAAATAGATATGTAGGGAAGGTATGGTAGTCATAGTTAAAAGTAACAACTGTTGAATGGGCATACATTGGTCGTGTCCAAATTCATGGGCTGCATCCTCCTGAGGACCCAGCCTTTGCGGTCTACGTGGGCCGGGTCCTCAGAAGGGTCAGGTAGGCCGGAAGTAAATGGCCGTGAAATTGGACGGTCTAGCCTTCTGATTAGCGTCACCGCTGTCTCGGTGGAGTTTAATAAACTCAGCCGTCTGCTTCTTGCTATCTAAAATATAACAGGACACTGGTGTAAATTCTCGACTGTCTCATGCTTCTGTTTAATCAGTTTTCTGTTTGACGTTTAGTCAGCTGTGTAAAAACCAAGGAGGAACCCACCCGGGGGATTAATAAAGTTTTATTTTATCTAATCTAATCTAATAACTTTAATCTCAGCCAAACCGATTTACTCACGAACAAACAAAACACTGAAAAAAGCCCAACAATAACATTTTTAAGTTGTCTAAGTGACTTATATATTACGTTTAACCCGAGCAGCGAAAGTCCGCGGGGATCTGAAAATGATGTGCCAGGAGTTGTGCCGTTCTCAGCTGCATCAGTAACCCTCGAGCTCCCGGCTAGCTATCGAGCTGGTGGGTAGTAGAAGCCTCCGAAAACGTCGATGCACTTTTGCAAATATGCGATATCTTGATAAACCGAGCAGATATTTGATGTTTACACAGCTACTTTCTCGCCTGAAAATATGTTAAAAGTTTATTTTGTGACCCAGAAAGATTAGTATGAGTAATTTTAAAACTTAGTAGCGGCCGCCATTGTTGGAAACTGGAGTTTGGCAGGGCCGCGCTATGAATTCTGGGATATGGTAGGCCACGAAGGACACACCCGACCCATCCTTCAAATTCGGGGAAAAGGAGGACGCATTTGTCGGCTGCATTCGGAGGAGTCTACGAATTTGGACAGCCTTCGGCGCGTCGCTGTGACGTAATCGGTCTACAAATGCGGCCTCAGGAGGATGCAGCCCATGAATTTGGACACGACCATTGTCCACATTCATTTTTCAAAAATTGTTCAGCCAAACCTCTTGCTTAGAAAGCTTTTTTTTGTAGACCTGTAACAACGTCATGTTACTATGGCAACAGTATTTACTTTTTCCCTGGTGCAGCCCTTGAGGTTATCTGTCTGGAACAGGCCACTTTAGCCTTAAAAAAACACAAGAGTGGCTCACAGTCACAGATGTGTGACTGAGATGACCACACAGAAATATATTCGCTCTCACTGACATCGAACAGAGCCAAGAGTAGGAAAAACTCTCTGAAACTGAGTGCTTCGAGCAGTCTGAAGCCTGAGCTGCTAGGTCATAGAGATTTCCTGCACGCTGACCTCAACTTTTTGTATTTGTCTTAATATTAGCATACACCATTGTAATGCAGGGTGGATGTAGCTCAGGAAGTAGAGGTCATGCATTCATCAGAGTGTGACAGAAAGCACTTATGTGTAGTAAAAAACAAAAGTGCTTCTATGAGTGGGTGAATGAGGCATGTTGTACAAAGCGCTTTGAGTGCTTGTCACATCAGAAAATAGCAAAGACAAAATAGGCTCATTTTGAAACTGATGACATTATTTTTCGGCTGAGGTTGTATTATTGAGACAGGACATATACAGTTGCTGCTGAACAGAAGACAATGATAAGAACCTCCACTATGTGACAGAGTGCAGCATAAAAAGGCCATCTCTCAGGAGTGACAGCATCAGTCACACAGACAGGCTCTTCTACAAGGCTCTCCATCATTTAGGCAAGAGATTCACTGGTAGCAAAAAATTCATTTGCTAAAACATCTAGCGGCAGAACAGTAAATATAAAGAATGAAATGGCACACATCTTTAAGCTTGTTTCACAGGGAATTAATAGCATATTCAATAATGAATTACAAGGTGACAATAGAGGGAAGAAATACCAAAATTAAGTAATTTTGTTTAAATCTGCAGGTCAGCTTGTCACAAGGTCAGAGTGGATCTGTTGATCAGTGTCCTAGATGCTGTTCCACATTTTGATTCACCAGGATTCCCTACACAGTCAGAACAATCCAACAGGATGACTGCTCAGGCAACTGTCTGCTCAGGAGGAGGATCCATCATGTTTTCACTTCTTTAGTGAAGGGGAGCCCAATGAGTTGTCTTCTCCTCCGCCTTTGACGTACCAAGTATGTAGCCAGTCATTTATATAAAACACAATTAGGCAGAACGGTCATGTTGATCTAATGATGGACACTTCTGTTTCTGACTTGGAGAAGACTCATAAAAACTCAAGAGCCTTCTTATTCCAGCTTCAGATGTAGTTAGACATTTTGGACCCAACGTGCCACCAACTACCTACCTGCAGTTGTTAGACTCTGCATTTGGCACAGCTGAGGATGGGGAGGAACTGTTGGTGAGGTTCATGAACACGTAGCAAGATTATTATGGCTTACTTGCATCGCTTGCAGGTGGCATTGACCGCATTGTATATAGGGGAGGTATACAGCCACAACAGGTCAACAAACACTTCCTGAAACAGTTTTACAGTGGCTGTTGAGACCATCACTTGCTTGCTGTTCTGCAGCTAGAACTTAAGAATCAAGAACCCCCATCACATGCTGAGCTTTTGTGGCTGCTGCGTACTGCAAAACATAGGCAAGAAACAGAAAGTAGTTGAATAAAACTGCACCTCTGTACTACAAAACTGAAGGTTGTCTCCCATAGACAGAATGTTCAGCAAGTGAAATACAGGCTGAATCTGCATCAAGCGACATCAGCAGGTTAAAAAATCTGAAAAAGCTGACCTGAAAAGCCAACTGATTTCCCTCATGGAACAAATGAAAACCATAGCTTCTAAGAAAGAACAGATACAGAAAGATGAAACTAAAAGAACCTGACCATGCAAAGACCAAACCAGGGCCCTCTTACACAGCACCTCTACTTTAAAGCCAAAACTGTGGTAGTGTTTTCATTGTGGAGAGGATGGTCACATTGTGGCCACGTGTGAGTCAGATTCAACTCATGCCTTGGTAGCTGCAAAAAAGAAGGAACTAAGAATTGTCAGCAGTTATGGGAACGCCAGCAAAGGAACACACCTTCATTAAACTGAAGACATTCCCTGTCGTGAGACAGATGGGAAATGCAACGGGTCAAACACGTACGACTGATAAGAAGCCTAAAGTGACCGCTAAGAAGTGTGTGATATTAACATTGCATGCTGAGCGAGGTCATTTCAAATTACCCAAAGGTTTGATAGGGGTAAAAACTACAGC